GGGACCGGCAGGCGGGCCTGGGCCGGTTCAACCGGGCCTGGGCCGGTTCAACCGGGCCTGGTGGGCTCTAACGGTAATATTTCAAAAAAAAATAATTTAAAAAATGGCCAACGGTCAGATTTTAAAATCTAGCCATTGGCCTTGTATTTTGATCCGTTGGCAAGTTTCAAAAATAGCCATTTGGCCCCCAAACTTTTCATAATTATACTTTTTCCCAATTCTCAATTATAAATACCCCCCTCCCCCATTCTTTCATAAAAACTCACAAATTTATCATTCTCCCTCAATCTCTCTCTAATTTTCTTCTATAATTGCTTACTTTATTATTGAAATTTCGTAAAAAATTGTGAAGTTGGTGAATTGAAGTATTCAAGTCTTCAATTCTTCAACGATATTCAATTTTCAAGAAGTTATTCGTCAATTCGGTAAACTCGTTCCAACTCTTAAGTTTAATATTATAATTTTATTTTTTAACTTGGAAAAAATATAATAAATATGACATTTTCTTTGAAAAAATGTTTGGTGGTAAGGGAAAAGTTAAAATTGGTGAATCTAGTCGCCAAGATACTACTCTTTCCCCGGCTCCCCGGCCTAGACCTATTACTTGTCCTCCTCCACCTATTATTCTTGATAGCGATAAACCTTGTTTTTAATTTTCCGATAGTCAATTTTGTAATGATGTTGCACCGGGTCAACAATTAAATGAAGAAGTTATGAATGCTCTTTATCCTAATGAAACTATATCTGAAATGATGAGGAAAATAGTGATTTAGATGAAACGCAACAGGATTTAGATGATACACCTACTAGTCATGTTAATAACCCAGCCGATGTCCTGCCTGACCCTCCTGTAGTAACCCCCACCTTTAATAGACAACCTTCTAAACGGCCCGAAACATCTCTTGTTTGTAACTTTTTTACTCAATTAAGAGAACAAAATAAGGCTAAGTGTAAAACTTGTGGATCTATGTTGGTTCATAAATTTACTGGAGACCGTAGCGGTACGGGTAGTTTGACTTGACACATAAAGACACACCCGAGAGATAAAGCTAAATTTCTTCAAATAAAAGTTGCGCAAGAGGGGAGAAGTGTAGATACTATGGTTAACCCTAGTACAGGTTCAAATGTAGTTCAACCGGGAATTAATACTATTACCGGTGGTATTTTATATTATGATCCAAATAAAGATCGTGAAGAATTGGAAAAAATGGTTACTGTTGTGTGCTTACCATATAGTTTTCCTTCTAACCCTCATTTTGTGCACTATATAAGAAGAGTGTTTAATCCTACTTACAAAGGATGGCCTCGCGCAATTGTAAAGAGCGATATTTACAAATATAAACATGAATATGAACAATACTTGCGCTATTTATTTACTCATATAGATTGTCGCATTGCTATTACTACTGATATTGATAGAGGTGGTAATGATTGTGATTATCTAACTGTTACAAGTCATTGGATAGATGAGGAATAAATAATGCAAAAGCGCAATATTGCTTATAGAATAAATAATTCATGCTACACAGGTAAGTTTATTGCTAACACAGTTGCAGATATTTGTAGATATTTTTGCCTTGGAGATAAAATTATGTCGGTTTCAATGGATAATGCTTCTAGTAACACTAACGTTGTAGGCTTGCTTACAACCACACTAAATCCTGCATTTAGTAATATTTTTCGTGTTAGATGTATTTGTCATATTTACCATTTAATCGTCGGTGCTGGTATGAAAGTTTTAAATGTAGAAATTGAAAAGGTTAAAATGGCTCTTAATTGGCCTTTTCAGTCAAACCGTAGAAGTAGGCTTAGAGAATATTTTAAAAAATGTGATGAATTTGGCCTTAGAGAAAGAAAGGTTCTCAAACCTTGTCCCACTAGATGGAACTACATGTATGAAAGTTTAGTTGTTGCATATGAATATAGGAACCCAATAAGCGCAACATATAGTGCTCGTATAGGTGAGGGTGATGATGATGATGATGATGATGAGCACCTTACAAATCAAGATTGGAGTAATGTTAAAATGCTTGTAGACTTTTTAGAACAGTTTCATATTGTTACAAATGAATTATCTGGCCAATATTATCCTACTATTTCTAACTGTTTAGTTTATATTGCAGCACTTGTAGATTTATTTATAGTATTTTCAGAGGGTGGAGATATTTATCAAGAAGCTATTAATTCTATGAAAGCTAAGTTTAAAATATATTTTTTCCCTATCCCCCCTATTTTTGGTGTTGCTGCAGTTTTAAATCCTACAATGAAATTAGGAGGTCCTCACCTTTGATATTCAAAAATTTATAACGCTTTACCACTTTCAGCTGAGGAATTTACTACACTAGGAGATGTAAAAGCTTCAGTTAAAATAAATGCCCAAACGATTTATAATGCTTATCAACTTGCTATAAATCATGATAGACCTAATGTTCCAACTCCTACTTCACCTAGTTCTCAATCATCTAAAAGAACTGCGGGCCTAAAAGCCCTTAGTTCTTGGACGGAGTTAAGGGGTTCTCAAGGTGATAATTTTGGTGATAGTTCACAACTAATGAGCTTCAAATTTATTTGTCGCAAGGCCTTGAAACGAAGAACCCAGACGGCACCTTTGATATTTTGGAATGGTGGAAGGACAAACAAAAATACTATCCGGTTCTTTCAAGGATGACTCGAGATGTTTTAAGTGTTCAAGCTTCAACAGTAGCATCGGAGAGCGCTTTCAGTCAAGTGAGACTTCAAATTGGTGATCATAGAGCATCTATGAGGGAGAGTTTGGAAAAATCGGTACTCTTCAGAGATTGGATCCGTTCAGAAAGAAGAAATTTTGGACTTGCAGTATCGCAACTGGAGATAGACGAAGCTTATAAAGAAATGCTAGCGGAACTTGCGCAGGATGTTGCTTCGCCCGGAAGCGGTGATGAACAAGCCTCTTTTCTACCACCACCAACGGAAATTCCTCCGAACCTTGAAGGATTTATGAGATTTGTTAGAGATAATACATAGACTAATATGTAAATTGTATTTTGGCACATCTTCCTTAGTTTTTTTCCTTTTAATGATGGTATTAGTACCTTGTTGTGCTCATTCCATTGGGGGGAGGAAGACTACGAAAGATATTATCATTTTTGTTAATGTCATAATAATAAAAATTATAAGACATTCCCTTGAATATCTCTTTGCAATTTTTTTTGTGTGTTTAAATTTGACTCTTTAGAATATTTAAATTATTATACTACATAATATATATATATATATATATATATATATATATATATATATATACACACACACACTACAAATATACATACTATATAAACTATATATACTACATATATACATATTATATAAACTATACTATAACACACACGCACATACATATATATACTATATGTATGTAAATATATATATATATATATATATATTATACTACATATATATATATTCTAACACATATTCTATATACATCTAACACACACATATTCTCTCTCTCTCTCTCTCTCTATATATATATATATATATATATAAACATATAAG